GGCAAAGTGACTCTTTTTTTTGCCCTCCCCCTGTATTTTTGCCGACTTCATTAAAGCTAATTCGAATGGCACTTTATGCCATAATTGATCCTTAGCATAGCTCCATTGCGCCCTGCAATATGGAACCATCTGTCATCACCAACGAACCCATGAAGATTTCAAAGGCTACTTCCTATCAAAGCAACAACGTAATCTCCTGATTTATGCACACGTGAATGGCTTCATTAGAACTGTCACTCTGATTTCTCAAGACCTTCCACCAGCTTGCAAAACAGACAACGTCCTCGGTTCACGTCTGCTTTCATGACTTCATATTCGTAGACTAGCTAGTAACTAGCCAATCTAAGATCTCATTCAGGTCGCTTAAGCGAGTTTCAAGGAATGATCAGGGACAGCAGTGAACCCGCTTCAACTCCGAGAAAAGTTTCGTGCAACACATTTGGTCACATTATCCAACAGCACTGAGATCGAGAAGAAAAAGTCCATTTCAAGTGAGAGTCATAGAGGTGGCCTCTATATTTGACCTGTAGATAAAGGAAAGATGATGGGACTGCGGAGGCGCAGATGCCACGTCAACCGTAAAATGTACTCCCAAGACTTTTTACTGCAGGGTCAAGGTGATAAACGTGGCATCTGCACCTCCTCATTCTCTATCTTCTTTTCTCTGACCGGCTCCACTAATGGTAGTAAGAACTGAACAGTTAAGGAGTAGTTGAACCTTACATGATAGAAATGCACACGATAAAAGAAAAGTGAAAAGGTCAGAGATCTAGTCCTGGAAACATGCTAGTGCACATTCACACGGGCAAGATCGTGATCGCTATAGCAAGCACCCTCCCCATTCCGACCAGTGATTCCTTCATTGGTATCCAGTAGTACTCCATGAAGCAGGGGTAATGGTCCGTTGTCTGTGCTGTATTAGATCAGCGGGTTCAGAACCAGGCACGGCGCATGTTTTGCAAACGATGTAGGGAAGCTCGTGGTTTACTATAGGATCAGTCTGCGATTGTTTTTCTCCTTATTTCATGCTGAAAGTCTTTGATCAGAACCCTGATTGCGAATTCAGGGTACTTTACTACGACCGTCTCAGATCAAACCAAATGCTAACAGCACCCCGCCTCACTGACAACGTGAACTTACAAATGTTCTCCACTACAAGGGGGTCTTTCAGGGCAAGCCACGCTTTTTCAAAACGGTTTTTGCATATTGTAGGGACGCATGTAGGGAACACAAAACCATGTTTCGTTTTCGCTGAACGGTTTAGTAGTACCAAAAAGATACCCTTGATGGTTCGATCCCCCGCGGCGACTAAATTTTGCATTTGGGTTGGGAGCTTACCGATTGCTGCTAAATGTTAGAAGTAAAGGTCATATTCATCGTCAGGACCGCTTTGGAGCCAACAATGGCCGTCAACCTTGATTGCAAAATTTAGTCGCCGCGGAGAGATCGAACCATCAAGGGTATATTCACCACTTTTTTGGTACTACTAAAACCGTTCAGCGAAAACGAAACATGGTTTTGTGGTCCATACATGCGTCCCTACAATATGCAATGAACCATTTCCAAAAGCGCGGCTTGCCCTGAAAGACCTCCCTTGTGAGTTCCCTGCTGCACGAACAAATCACTACCCAACAAAAGGTCCTGCAATACTTGCAAAAGTGGGAGACGTAACGAAAAAGGGTTGAAATTCTAACATCATCACAACCTTTCCATCTGACTGGCTTCCAGTGACTCCTGCTGTACTTTGAACCTACACCCTTTGTCTTGCTCGAAGCTTCTACCGAAACGTTTTCTGATCAATCACCATGACAACAATACTTACTATTTTAGATCAATGGTTCAAACTAAGCCCTTATCTTTCAGCCACAAAGTCAATAATATTTTTAACACATGACGGCGCCGAAATGGGTTTTGTTTGTCTCTACACGCCATCTCTACCAGTGCCGGCTCCTAGATAAGGACTTTTGGATAGGGAAACATGCCACTGTGGTTTTGCTCTATAACTCTGGGTAGTTTAGCTACGCACAACGCTCACGTTTCGGCTTAAAGAACTTTACCTCGACATTTCTACTTGCAGTGTTACATTTCCACCGTTCCCACGTAATACTTCTATACTTTCTCTAACTTAAGGCAATCCTTTTCCCAGATTGATCTCCACCATCATCGTAGAGTAGTAGCAACAGAGTAGATTGGGAAATGTCCGGACTTGTGGTGTAGATCGTTTGGTCGAGTTTCTAGTGAACGACTGCCTTTACATTTTACTAGAGTGGATTTCGAAGTTAAATCGTCAACATTAACTTAGAATATAAAATTAGCGTTCCGGGATAGGTGCAAGCATTATTTGGCTGGTGGCTGAGGTTTTGACGAAAGTTAATCCTTCTTTTTCTCACTTCTTCCCTTGGTACCAATCTCAGAAGGATACTGTTAAACATGGCTTGATATGTTGAAGGTTGCTGTTGAATTTCATTTATGAGGCATTACTGAAGTCTCAATTCCCCACTTCATTACAAGCGACCCTTACTTCAAATCTTGTAGTTGGGTAATATTGCTGACGTACCCATGGATAACTTTCTTACAGGGGCATAATCACACAAAATGATACACCCCCGAAAAGAAGGATCTCCATCTGATAGGAAAGCCATGTTGCCGGGCAATTTTCTCTGAATAGCTTTGGGTGCCTTCTTAGAGAGCTAAGTTGTGTCGTCTCATCTTCAACAGTTTGTATAAATTGACGTATACGTTAAGAAAATATCCAGCTTTCGACAAGCGGATTACTCATTTTCTAATCTCATCTATCGTCGTCTTCTTCCCGCGAATTATTCAGTAATAGAAAATCGAGTGGTGCCCTTACCATGTTCAAGGTCCAGCGATCAAATCCTGCATCGCACGCCGTCCAGCTTATTCAAGTTTTCCATACCGCGGCATTGGCAAAATGCAATATAGATTGGCTGTTAGTAGAAAAAATCACGAATTTCATGCCGGTTGTCGCACTTTGCATAGGCTAAGTCGCGTGCAAAATTCCAAACGATTACGAGTGGTGAAGAATGCATGGCGCTCCTCAAAAAGGTTTGATCAGGGATGATCGCCTTTTCTTTTAATAACGATTTGGCTATTACATAAAGCCATCTAACTATCAGGTGAAGCGTCAAAGCCTTTGTGAGGGGACAACGCGAATGCGGCGTGAAGAAACATCGTTCACGAAGCAGTCTACGCGGATCCTGAGCTATCTCTGAGAAGTCCTACATGCATCATCTCCCACAGCTCTAATCACCTCTCCGAAGCAATTTGTTCTTGTGTTGTTGATCAGCACTCATTTTGCGGCCGCAAAATACAATCTCATGCCTTGGTGAATCGTTGTCAACAAGCCATTGCTAGTTGCAGTGTTCAATACACCACTGATAGACATTGTTTTTTGCTGAAATAATGTCGACTCAAAGATTGGAGGAGTGGCGCAAACATTTGAGCCACTGCAATCCAATCCTACAACAATAGGGGGTTCCGAAACGAACAAAACCCCTTTACGTGCAGTAGTTTTGGACATAACATCCATCACGCGAAGAAAACCTACGAACTTGATCGGTACCCGACAACGGAGCTCCGTCGCGCGCCAAAGAAGGCAGTCTCAGCGGACGATTCGCAGCGCGTGATGAGCGATGTGCACGTACAATGGTCCATTCTGTTTAACGTGATGCGAAATCAGCACAGTTCCGCTGCTGCACTTCGTCAACCGCTGACTCGCATTTTGCCGCCTACGGATTCTCCCTGTCGGGTACCTCGCCGATCACTTGTCCTTCATGTTATACTTTCAAAATACTGAATTCGCTAACGCGCAGTGTCTCTAATCAATCATCACAAAATAATTTGCGAATAATTTACTGCTCCTGAAATCAATACCCATCATATGTTACTGGTTGAATTCTCTTGCGTTCGCATTATCGCTCAGCATCATTGAATGAGTAACTTTAGTGACTCCACTGTCTGTAGATTGCAAGCAAAACTTCGTGGTTCAGTGTTACCCAGTACTAAAAATTGGAATTTAGAATGAAAATCGTAATTGCTTCCGCGTTACTGATTGGCTCGTGTTTGTCCATGAGAGATCAGTCATATGCGGTTCGGGGAAAGCTGATGTGTGGCCCCAGCCAGCAACAAATGTCAGGAATAAAGCTGTGGGAGGAGGATACTGTAGGTCAATTGTAATGAGGATTTTCACATCTTGGCAACACAACTAATGAAGCTGAATCTGTGAAGTGGTGTCAGAATAATAATATTCCAGGACCCGACCCAGATGACCTGCTTGATTCGGGCTACACGGATGGTAACGGTGAATTTCGTCTTGGAGGAGGAACGGCCGAAATGACGCCAATCGATCCAATCTTCAAAGTATATCACGACTGTGACGACGGCATGAAGGTGACATAAATCAAAAAGTAGAAGTTTCGGTTTTTTCTAATGGCTACTCTTACTTCTGCTATGTGGCTGTTCAAAGCACATTCCTCGATTAGTACGTATGCGATATATGTTTCAAAACGTATAAGTTGGTGATCACTAATTCAACTGTTATTTTAAAAAAAATATTGCTAAGAGCCGCAAGGCCCACCAGAATCAAATCTGACGGGATTTGCGTGGGCGGGATCAGAGACCTACCGCTTATGAGACCCATTCTTCAACGCACTCCACTGTTTCACAAGAATGCCGGTTTGTGAACAAAACTTTGAGTACTTCATTGTATTTTACGTAAAGCAGGCAACACTTATCACTCCTGCGGGGGGAGGGTAGGCATTTTGTGGAACCCATCCATTGGATTAGCATTCAATGTCACTTTTATTTACTCATGGTGTGATTGCTGACAAACTAGCAATCAACACAAGTACGTACGTTTTGACTAATAATGTACATCTACATACTCAGTCGCGGAGCGCACCTTTGAGAGGTTCTTAGCCACTGCCACGCTACGCGACGATCTCCCCTTCTACCAGTTTTTGTTGTGAACAAAGCATACATGCGCGGAATCAGTACAAATGATCTTTTCTTACAGCCTGGCAAGCGGAAGGTGAAGTTCTACCTGCCAAAGTCGTACATCACAGCTGGAAAGACACCCAAGAAGGAGTTCGACATAGGTCTGTCTTTTTTACGTATCCAGATTTCGTTGTGTTAATTTGCAACTTCAGAAAAAATGGGGTGAAGATTTTTGCTGAAGATCCAATCCTAACAGCAAGAAAAAGTAAGCCAATGCATCGTAATAAATGGTAGTGTTGGTGAGGCTTTACAGAACGCCTGACTGGCTAGAGCAGCTGAAAACCAGGGTCAGCCGTCTGTCTAGCCGAGCCAGAGGATGGTCCTATTTCGCGATTTTGGTCGTCTTAGACACCAAGTGGTGCCTCGTTAAAAAATGTGGGTAAAAGGGTTCCTCCCGACCTCCCACGACTATGGGACATGTTTGGATGTGCGCGAGTTTGTCACGCAGTACTCAAGAACACTACCGACATCATCAATCATGTGGGATGGGGTTCCTATAACCGGCCAAACTTGGCGTCACCCAAAATTCTCGCTTCACATTTTCCCGTTCTAACATAATTTGGGATTCACCCGTGCTCGATTAATAGGTACCAGACAGGCCTGCTAGAAGGTCTTGTGCAACTGCCCTTACCCCTGCCCCTTGTATAGGAGATCCTTCATGAAAATTCCTGGATTGGCATTGACATTCATGCCTATTGACAACCTTTTCCTTACAGGCGTCTTGAATCTTGAAACAATATTCCCAAAAGAGGAAAGGGAATTTATCGTCACTAGAAGGCGCCGGGCAAGAAAAGAAGACACCGAAGATTCAGGTGAAACTTTACACATTTTTCGCTATGAACTGTTATGGCTTAAAAGCAGTGAAACTGGCTAGAAGGAGTAACAGTCTCGATGACGTCATCGAGCGGAAGTCGTCGGAAGGTGGTCCTAACCACACCAGCAGCGCAGTGGTAGGTCTGGCCCACCTACGGCGTCGAATGACGTCATCAGAACCGCTCCCCTCCATCAGTCATATTCACGCCTTTAACCAAAACAACTTTAAAGCAGTATTCAGTGTAGCCTAGGCATGATAAGACCACTTACATTCTTTCCTTACCTACGCCTGATGCCGGATAAGGGGCCGAGTAAAGGAGCAATTTACAGATGCTTTCGACTACTACTCGAGGATGCGTTTTCAAAAGGACCAAATGCAGTTGCGGGAAACTGGCTACGAACTCGACTAGATTGGGAAGGTAAGATTACAGCGTGAAGCTCCAGCGTTACAGAGCTTCAATCGAAGGTGTATTAGTGTCTAATGGAATCAGTTTCAAGTAAGGCTCGAGCAAAAGGGTGAACCTGGCCTCCCAAGTCTTGATGAACGTAATTTGTATGCCGGTAGGCTTTGCTACAGCGAGGAGTGTGCGTCCACAATAAGCACCATTGTTTCAGAGAAGAAATCCTCGCATCTTCTCTTTACTCCCGAACAAATGAGCAATTGAGTTCAGTCCAGTCCATTTCGTCCCTTCCCAAACACTGACTTTTCGTCTCTCTAGCGTCGAATAATTCCCGACCGCACATGTGTCCGACGGGAATGGTGCAAGGAGGCCTGTCGCGCGGCGAAGGTCAGAGCCGCAGAAGCGAACCGGCTAGTTGTCGTATCTACAGTTCAGCGCCGAGTCAGTTGAGCTGCAAGATCACGTCACATGTTGTTCTCGGCGTAAAGTCAAAAATGCAATATTTGGCTACTGCATTTTTTAAGATCGTGTCGCTTTTGATTCACGTTCAGTATTTTTTTTCGAGAAGGGGTAACTCCGCGTTAAAGGCAAAGTTCGGGCTCAGACCCACTTAATGAGCCTTTACGGTGGCTAGAAGCGCTAGGTACGCAAGTGTAGAGGTCGCGTCACTTCCCTACTTCGAAAAGCGTTATTTAGACGCTTCTCTAGCGCTCTCCGCGCTCACATTCTCTCTCTCCCTGCCGGCCTTTTGAACTTCTCCGCAGCGTAGAGCAAAAGGCTCGTATTTCCTGTGTATTTCACGATTTTTTTCCTTTTTTCTCCACTGGCGGTCCACTCCTACCCCTACTTTCACATTTGAGTGGAATTACCTCATAATTTAATCCTGAATCTTGCCTTTAAGGAGTTTGTGAAGAAATTTCATCTTGGATGAAGGGGTCTTAGCATCACCATCAGTGAAAGCAGGCGCACACACCTAAGCTTCTCCCTCTCCCTAGGCGTCGACTTC